TACTTGGGAGGCTGAGGCAGAAGTATCGCTTGAACCTGGGAGGTGGAGGTTGCAGTGAGCTGAAATTGTACCACTGCACTCCAGCCCGAATGACAGTGCGAGACTCCATCTTAAAGAAAAAAAAAATGCATAAACTTTGTGGTCAGGCAAACCTTGGCCACTCATGTGCATCAATCACGTTTTCAAGTCACAGCCTCCCTACAGGCAGGACTCTGATTAACTCCATTGCACAGGTGAGGAAAACAAAGCTGAGGCCAGGTCTAAGGCCACACTGCTAGTAATGACTGAACAAGGGCTCCAACCCAGGTTTAACTCTAGAGCTCCTAACTACCCCGAGACACGTGGTCCTTGGTGGGGAAAATTCCAGATGTGATAAGGACTGGCACGGGTCGCACCTCCCAGACTGGAAGCCACTCGCACCCTTTCCTACCACTCCGGGGCTGCAGTGGCGCTGACTGCCCGCAGCACTGCAACAAGCTGTGCCCTGGCCTGGCCTGGATCTAGGGAGGCTGGTGGAGGCTGCCCTACAAGAGGGAGTCATTCCTGGAAGGCAGAGAGAGGCTGTCTGGGACTAGAACTGCCAGAAGAAGGAGCTAAATGACCACCCCTGGCCTCCTCCACCAGTTGATGCCATGGGGTTCATAGAAACAGAGAGGTCTCTAGAGAAAGGCCAAACAGACAGATCCTGGCTGGGCTCAATGGCTCATGCCTATAATCCCAGCATTTTCGGGGGGAAGATTGCTTGAGCTCAGAGTTCGAGAGCAGCCTGGGCAATGTAATGAGACTCTTTTTTTTCCTCTACAAAAAATTTTTAAAAATTAACTTGGCATGGTGCTGTGTGTCTGTGGGCCTGGCTATTTGGGAGGCTGAGGCAGGAGGATTGCTTACGCCCAAGAAGTTGAGGCTGTAGTGAGCTATGATTGCACCATTGCACTCCAGACCCTGTCTCAAATAATAATAATAATAACAATAATAAAATTAAAAATTTTAAAAAGACATCCCAGGATTTGAGGCTGAAGCAGAGGCCAGGATCACCCCTAGTCCGTTAGGGAGAGCCACAGCTTCAGGTATCTGGAAAGAAATTCTAGGCACGGCAGGGCAGGGCAGCATTCCCTGAATGGTCCACAGCAGGGTAACAGGGCATATGCCCAGTGAGTGCAGGGGACTTGGCACAGTGTTCTCCTCCACCTGCCTTTCAGAGATGACCTTGTCTCATATTCTAGAGAGAATAGACATCACAGAGCAGCTTCTGAGTCCAGACCTGTCCATCAAAATGCCAACATGGTGTCTTTCATGGAGACTTTTTTTTTTCCAAGGCAGTCTTTCTCTGTCATCCAGGCTGGAGTGCAGTGGCGTGATCTCTGCTCACTGGAACCTCCACCTCCTGGGTTCAAGTGATTCTCCTGCCTCAGCCTCCTGAATAGCTGGGATTACAGGTGTGTGTCGCCACACCCAGCTAAGTTTTGTGTTTTTTGTAGGGACGGGGTTTCACCATGTTGCCCAGGCTGGTCTCGAACTGCTGACCGCAGGTGATCCGCCTGCCTCGGCCTCCCAAAGTGTTAGGATTACAGGTGTGAGCCACTGTGACCAGCTTCTCATGGATACTTAATAGACATCTGAAAGTTCACACGTGTGAGTTAGAGACGAAGTTCTCCAGCCCAAGCACGTGCTTCTCCCAGTCGTCCCCATCTCACTAAACGGCAGCTGCATCCACTCTGCCACTCCAGCCAGAAAGCTGAGTCATCCATAAGGCATTAATTCATTTGTTCACTTATCAAGTGGTCTGTGAGCGCCTCTATATGCCAGGCACTACATCTAAGCACCAAGAGTGCCTGGTATGCAAATGTCTCATCGAAGAATTCATAGCATCTCTTTCTCACCTCCCAGAATCTATTCACTCCCAATTCCATTCTCTCCTACTTCCAGAACATAACAAATCCATACATTTTCCCTCATATTTAGTGCTATCACCCTTGTCTGAGCCACCATCACTTCTGTCTAGGTTAGAGAAAGACCCTCCAGTCTTGCCTCCCCAATATCCATTCTTGCTTCCTTTTTATTGTATTATTTTATTTTGTTTTAATTTACTTAACTTCTAGAGACAGGGTCTTGTTCCCTTGTCCAGGCTGTAGTGCAATGGTGCCATCATAGCTCACTGTGGCCTCAAACTCTCGAACATCTACGCTTAACGAATCCTCCCACCTTAGTCCCTCAAGTAGTTGGGACCACAGGTGCATGCCACCATGCCTAGCTAATTTTTTTTTTTTTTTTTTTTTTTTTGAGATAGGATCTCACTCTGTTGCCTGAAGGGCTGAAGGGCAGTGACACAAACACAGCTCCTGCAGCCTCAACCTCATGGGCTCAAGTGATCCCTACACAGTGCTGGGATTACAGGCATGAGCCACCATGCCTGGCCTCCAGCTAACTTTTTATTTTGTCATTTTTTGTAGAGATGGGGTCTTGCTACATTGCCCAGGCTGGTCTCAAACTCCTGGCCTCAAGCAATCCTCCTGGCCGGGCGCGGTGGCTCACACCTGTAATCCCAGCACTTTGGGAGGCCGAGGTGGGTGGATCATGAGGTCAGGAGATCGAGACCATCTTGGCTAATGCAGTGAAACCCCGTCTCTACTAAAAATACAAAAAATTGGCCGGGCGTGGTGGCGGGCGCCTGTAGTCCCAGCTACTTGGGAGGCTGAGGCAGGAGAATGGCGTGAACCTGGGAGGCGGAGCTTGAAGTGAGCCAAGATTGTACCACTGCACTCCAGCCTGGGTGACAGAGTGAGACTCAATCTCAGAAAAAAAAAAGCAATCCTCCTAAATTGGCCTCCCAAAGCTGGGATTACAGGCATGAGTCACTGCACCCGGCCTTGCTTCCTTTTAATCTGCCCCTCACATGGAAGTCAGAGAAATCTTTAAATATGAGCCAGATCAGATCATTGTCCTGCTCAAAACATCTCCATGCTTCTGAGGTGCTTTGTTGTGCTTCCAACCCCATCACATTCTAGCATTCATTTTATTCCTAGAACACGACTTCTGGCCTCAGGGTCTCTGCCATTCTGTTCCCTCTGCCTGGGATGCTCTTCCCTGCACTCTTTGCTGGACAAGGTCCTACCCATCCTTTAGATGTCAGCTTGCTGTGTGTGCCCAAAGGAGCCCCCTCTTGGCCTCAATATAAATTGGGTCCCCAAGCTTTTTGCTTTCATGGCAAACACAACTTCTCATCACAGTCTAATCAAGTCTAACATCTGATGTGTGTGATCCTCTCATTACCCCTTGTCTGCACTACATAGCAAGCCCCATAAAGAAGGGTCCATGCCTCTGTCACTCTCATTGTGTCCCCCAAACAGGCATGCAATCAATGTTGGTACAACAAACAAATGTGGGATTTTTAGAGCCTTTGTTATAGACCCTTTGCACGCTGTGACCTCCCAAAAAAGGGACGGTATTTTCCCAAGTCCTACCTGCAGGGTGCCCGATGGGCTAGGACACTTCTGTCAACCATTGCCCAGAATGATTCAGCAGAACACCATTTGAAAATCACTGATTGGTGGGGCAGTGGTTTGTTTGGTGGAGATGTTTTGATGCCTGTAATCCCAGCACTTTGCAAGGCTGAGGCGGGAGAATAGCTTGAGTTCAGGAGTTTGAGACCAACCAAGGCAACACAGGTAGACCCCATTTGTACAAAAAATAAAAATTAAAAAGTTAGCAGGGCATGGTGGTGTGCCTGTAGTCCCAGCTGCTTGGGAGGCTAAGGCAGAAAGATCGCTGGAGCCCAGGAGTGCAAGAATGCAGTGAGCTATGGTCGCAGTACTACATTTCAGCCTGGGCAACACAGCAAGACCTGTGAAAGAGAAGACAGAAGAGAAAAGAGAGAGAGAGAAAAGAGAGAAAGAGAGAGAGGGGAAGGAAGGAAGGAAAGAAGGAAGGAGAAAGAAAGGGAAAGAAAGGAAGAAAGAAAGAAAGAAAGAAAGAAAGAAAGAGAAAGAAAGAAAGAAAGAAAAGAAAGAAAGAAAGAGAGGTGGGAGGGAGGGAAGGAAGGAAGGAGAAAGGGAAAGAAAGGAATAAAGAAAGCAAAAGAAAGAAGGAATGAAGGAAGAAAAGAAAGAAAGAAGAAACAGAGAGTTGGGAGGGAGGGAAGGAAGGAAGGAGAAAGAAAGGGAAAGAAAGGAATAAAGAAAGAAATAAAAGAAAGAAGGAACGAAGGAAGAAAAGAAAGAAGAAAAAGAGAGTTGGGAGGGAGGGAAGGAAGGAAGGAGAAAGAAAGGGAAAGAAAGGAATAAAGAAAGAAATAAAAGAAAGAAGGAAAGAAAAAGAAAAAAGAAAAGAAGGAAGGAAGGAAGGGAGGGAGGGAGGGAGGGAGGGAGGGAGGGAGGGAATCATGTCTCAGCTTGGCCACCCACTATTTGTATTACCTTGAGCAAGTTATTTAATGACCCTTAGACTCTGTGTGTGAATTAGGGGTGGCTGTACCTACCTTACAGGGTTTCTGTGTCAGTTAGATGAGATCTAAATGTAAAGTTCTCTGCACGTGTCTTCACTGTACCAGTGAAGACTTGTATTTGCCTTGTAGTTAATAGCAGCTGCAGTTGTAGTAATACATTCCTCTAGCTTTTTTTTGCTTATGTGGATATATTTATCTTCATTATCTCTGGGTAACACACCTGTGGGGTGGGTCAGCCTCAGGTTCATATCCCCATTTGACAGATAAGGAACCTGCCACTCGGTGAGGCAAAATGTTTGGCTCAATGTCCCTGACCTTGGTTAAGTGGAAGAGCTGGGACCCACGTACGGTGCTGCTGGCTGCCAGCTGCTGGCTTCACACCACCATGCCCACCTCACAAACACACTCCATTGTCCTGGTGCATGACAAGCTTTTTCTGTAGAGAGGGCTGAGCTTCCCCTGCCCCACAGGTGACAGCTGGAGTCCTTCTGCCAGCACCTGTCCCCAGACCATCTTCCCAGTTTGGAGAGTGGCTGTTTGGGGGCAGGGGGTGTCTTACCTTATTTCAGATGCAGGGCTCACCTGCCCTGGGGGCTGTCAGTGGCTTCTAAGGCACTAGAAGGTGGCGATGGCTGTAAGGAGGGAGACACCCAGGATCCTCTCCCTTTGCAGCCAAGAGCTTCCAGAGACAGCAGTGACCTTCCTCTTATATGCCTGCTGCTGAGAGCCTCCAAGCGGGTCAAACTCCAAACTCCAGCCTCAGCTGTGGCAGGGATTAAAGGAAGCGTGAATGATCTCCCCAGGGGCAGAAGAGAGACCGGGCCCAGCCCAGGACCCTTGAATTCTGAGCAGATGGGGAAGGTGACATTCCCCATGCTTTGCCCACACTGTCCTCCACCAGGGCCCTCACCTGGGGGGACCCATGGCATGGAGGGGTTGGGGAGATGCTGGAGCCCAAGGCACCATCCTGCTTCACTCACCCACTCTTCCACTGTCCCGCCTCCATGCTGGGGACAGGCAGGCTTGGGACGAGCTGGAGGAAGCGGGGGGAGGAAAAATGCTGGCGGGGGATGGAGGGGACAGAGGCAAAGTGCCAGGAGGGACGTCCAGTCACAGCCCTCACCGCAGTGGCAGCAACAGGAACAGCAACCACTGCTTGTGCCCCTTTCCATACACTCCCCAGACGGAGGCACAGCAAAGAACAGGTGTCTGCCTGAGGTCGGGAGTTCAAGACCAGCCTGACAAGCATGGAGAAACCCCGTCTCTACTAAAAATACAAAATTAGCCAGGTGTGGTGGTACATGCCTGTGATCTCAGCTACTCGGGAGGCTGAGACAGGAGAATCACTTGAACCTGGGAGGAGAGGTTGCGGTGAGCTGAGATTGCGCCATTGCACTCCAGCCTGGGCAATAAGAGTGAAACTCCGTCTCAAAACAAACGAACAAACAAAAAAACAAAAAACAAAAAAAAAAAGAGAGAGAGAAGAAGGAGTGTCTGAGGTGCTGAAAAACTGTCAGGAGTGACCAAGCCCTGACCAGGAGCCCACATCAGGCCCAGGACATCAGGAAAGCCAGCGGGGCACAGCGAAGGTTTCTGCTGGATGCTCAAAGCATCCAAAACTTTCTTTTCTTTTTTTTTTTTTTTTTTTTTCTGAGACAGGATCTCACTCTGTCACCCAGGCTGGAGTGCAGTGGTGCGATCACAGCTTGCTGCAGGCTCAAACTCCTGGGCTCAAGTGATCCACCTCAGCCTCCCGAGTAGCTGGGACTACAGGTATGCACCACCACGCCCAGCTAATTTTTTCATTTTTTTTTTTTGGTAGAGACAGAATCTTGCTATGTTGCCTAGGTTGGTTTCCAACTCCTGGGTTTAAGTGATCCTCCTACCTTGGCCTCCCAAAGTGCTGGGATTACAGGGGTCAACCACTGTGCCTGGCCAAATACCAAAACATTTTTAAAATAGGTACTAGTATTTGCAAACCAAGAGGCTTGAAACATAATTCTAGAATGCTCACTTTTCTAGAACGACCTGAAGATCTGGCCTCTCCAGGCCCCCATGGCCACAGGACAGCTGGGGAGTTGTGGCCACCCCCTCTCACTCCTTCACTGGCCCTGCCAGGCTCTGGGGGTCCTTAGCTGAGGCCCCTGTCCTGGCACTGGGTAGCTAGAAATAATAGCAGTGGTGAACACGTGCCAGGCTCTGTTCTAAGTGCGCGACATCCCTTTACTCACTTGGGCTTTCTAACAACCCTTGAAGATGGGTCCTGTTACCTCTGTCTTACTGATGAGCAAACAGAGGTAGAGGAGGTGAGTCACTGGCCCAAGGTCACCCCGCTTGTAAGTGACACAGCAGGATTTCAGCCCAGGCCACTTGGCTCTAGAGTCCTACAGGAGCAGTGGAGAGTGGCTTGGCCGGATAAAGGGTGGCCTGGGTGAGCAAACACTGGGTGACTGACCAACACCAGTATGAATGGGGCCTTTGGGGGAGGGACCTCCCCTGGGGGACAGATTTACAGAAAGAACAGCTGGGATTGGAGAACAGGGCCAGACAGAAGGCCACAGATCTGCGATCTGCAGCAGGGGCCACAGCACCAGGAAGGGCAGTGGGGTGCCACTGAGGGTGCGCTGCTTCGCCAACCTGGGGTCCAGTCCTGACTTCTCGGGAATGTCTGGGGCACTTTAGCCATGTGCAGCGTGTCTACAGAAGAGGTGTGGCAGTGAGTGAAGCCGGGCAGGTGGAGCTGTGGCTGACCCGAGAGCATGTGTTCTAGCTGAAGTGGGCAGCCACAACCCAGCTCCACCTGGGGGAAGACAGGCCCAATGCGGTCAGAACTTCTGATTGTTCTAGAGAAGTTCTGCCAAGTTTCATGATTATGCATCCATGAGGGCCAAATGTGGCCCGCTCAACCCTTGGCTTGTCACCTCTGATGGTTTCTCTGATTGTCAGGTTTTTCAGTTTTTATCCTCAGTGCTATAAAGAATAGGAGAGGTGGAGTGCAGGGGCTCATGCTATCATCTCAGTGCTTTGGAAGCTGAGGCAGGAGGATCTCTTGAGGCCAGGAGTTAGAGACTAGTCTGGGCAACATAGTGAGACCCCCATCTCTATACAAAATAGGAAGAATTAGATGGACATGGTAGTGTGCACCTGTAGTCCCAGCTACTCAGGAGACTGAGGCGGGAGAATCATTTGAACCCAGGAGTTCAAGGCTGCAGTGAGCCATGATAGTGCCACTACACTCCAGGCAACAGAATGAGATCTCAACTAAAAAAAAAAAAAAAAGAACTATATAACCACTTTAGAGAACTATTTGGACATTTCTTATAAAGTTATCATACACATTACTGGGGACAGTGGCTCATGCCTGTAATCCCAGCACTTTGGGAGGCCAAAGTGGACGGATCACAAGGTCAGGAGTTCGATATCAGCCCGGCTAATATGGTGAAACCCCGTCGCTACTAAAAATACAAAAATTAGCTGGGTGTTGTGGCGGGCACCTGTAATCCCAGCTACTCGGGAGTCTGAGGCAGGAGAATCATTTGAATCTGGGAGGTGGATGGAGGTTGCAGTGAGCTGAGACCGTGCCATTGCATTCCAGCCTGGGTGACAAGGCGAAACTCCATCTATAAAATAAAATAAAATAAAATAAAATAAAATAAAATAAAGTTACCATACACCTCCCCCATGACCCAGCAATTTCACTCTTAGATATTTATCAAGAGAAATGGAGACATAAGTTCCCAAAAAGGTGTGTACACAAGTGTTCATGGTGGCCTTATTCAAAACAGTTTCTAAGTGGAAAGAATGCCAATTCCATCGACAGGTGAGTGGAGAAAACAAACTGCGGTGCCTCTAACACTGCGGAAAAGTTTCATTGAAAGGAATGAACTACCCAACCCACGCAACACCACGGATGAATTGAAGACTCGAAGAAACATTACGCTGAGCAAAAGGAGCTGACCTGGGCTGCGCACGGTGGTCACACCTCTGATCCCAGCACTTTGGGAGACCACGGTGGGTGGATCACCTGAGGTCAGAAGTTCGAGACCAGCCTGGCCAATGTTGTAAAATCCCATCTCTACTAAAAATATAAAATTAAATTAGCCTGGTGTGGTGGTGTGCACCTGTAGTCCCAGTTACTCGTGAGGCTGAGACAGGAGAATCGCTTGAACCCAGCAGGTAGAGGCTGCCGTGAGCCAGGATCATGCCACTGCACTCCAGCCTGGGTGAGACACAGCAAAACTCCATCTCAAAAAAAAAAAAAAGAAAAGAAAAGAAAAGAAAAAGGAGCTGACGTGAAAAGAGTACAGACCTTATGATTCCATTTATGTGAGATTCAAGAACAGGAAAGATGCATTTGTGATGACAGAAGTCAAAGAGCGGGACCCAGTGAACAACTGGAAGAGGATGGGAGTGTGCTCTCAGAGATGATGGAAATGTCTATTATCTTGAATTGGGTGGTAATTATATGGTATATACAATTGGTAAAACCCAGTGAATTGAAGGATTAACACTGAAATGCATTTTTTTTTTTTTTTTTTTTTTAATGAAGTTCACTCTATCACCCAGGATGGAGTGCAATGGCGCCATCTCAGCTCACTGCAACCTCTGTCTTCTGGGTTCAAGCGATTCTCCTGCCTCACCCTCCCAAAGTGCTGGGATTACAGGCGTAAGCCACTGCACCCGGCTGACTCATGCATTCTATTGTATGTAAAGTATACCTTTTTAAAAATGACAGCAGATGGCCGGGTACGGTGGCTTATGCCTGTAATCCTAGCACTTTGGAGGCTGAGACAGGCAGATCACGAGGTCAAGAGATCGAGACAATCCTGGCCAACATGGCCAACATGGTGAAACCCCATCTCTACTAAAAATATAAAAATTAGCTGGGCGTGGTGGGGTGTACCTGTAATCCCAGCTACTCGGAAGGCTGAGGCAGGAGAATCGCTTGAACCCAGGAGGTGGAGGTTGCAGTGAGCCGAGATAGCATTATTGCATTCTAGCCTGGGTGACAGAGCGAGACTCCATCTCCAAAAAAAAAAAAAAAAGAGCAAAGCAAATATACAGACAGTGAATTCACACAGAGCAAACACACCGAGCAAATACGGTTATTGCGAGTCTGTCTCCCAGATTTTAGTTCCAGCCTATTGTCACCACGTAAGAACGTGGGTCTTATGTTGCCAGCATTCCTTTTTCAAGAGAAATCTCAAAGTCTGGGGTTTTTTTTTTTTTTAATGGGAACTCTGATGACTTGTAAGGTTTGGCAAATTCAAAAGCAACAAAAATAGTTAAAATGCAGGGTGTGTCAAATGATGCACGGGGCTCTGTTTGGAACCTGTATTCTCGGGTGGCATGTTCTCCTAGTGGGCTCAAGATGTGATTTCTTCCTGGATTTTCTACAGACTTTTAATAACACACTTTCACCTACCCACATCCCTAACAACCCAAATGTTGTTATTTGTTGCAAGAACTGAACAGAGCAAACCCTCAAAGCTGAAATAGATAAGCTTTCCTAGGCAACATGCAAGCCTGGGAGAAGGAGTCCCTGTTAAGACAAGATACATTTGTTGACTTAGTAACCGTGAGCCCTTGGGCAGGTCTCTCAGCCTCTCTGAGCAGTCAGTTTCCTCCCTAGCTCTCCCAAAACGGTGCAATCCCCTAAGTTAACCATGAGCTGCCTACCTGGCATTTAGTTGACACTGAGCATTTCAAGGCTTATTCTTTCTCTTTAGTGTGGCTTCAAAGGGGGAAAACTACACTGTTTCTTCTCTCTCTCTCTCTCTCTCTCTCTCTCTCTCTCTGGTTTTGTTTGTTTCTATCTCCCAAGAGTCACGGTTCTCACAAACATGGCTTGCTTTCCATCCACAGTAGCTGCAGGAGAGATGGGGCTGGGCATGGTGGCTGACACCTGTAATCCCAGCATTTTGGGAGGCCAAGGTGGGCAGATCGCTTGGTCCCAGGAGTTTGAAACCAGCCTAGGCATCATGGTGAAACCTTGTATCTACAAAAATTAGAAAAAAAAAAAAAAAAAAAAAAAAAAAGCTGGGTGTGGTTGTGTCCACCTGTAGTCCCAGCTACAGGAGGCTGAGGTGGGAGGATCACTTGAACCCAGGAGGTCGAGGCTTCTCCTCCTCCTCCTCCTCCCCTTCCCCCTCCTTCCCCCTCTCCCTCCTCATCCCACCTCCTCCTCCCCCTCCTTCTCCTCCCCCTCTTCCTCTTCCCCCTCCTCCTCTTCCCCCTCCTCCTCGTCCTCCTTCTCCTCCTCCCCCTCCTCCCTCCTCCTCCTCCCCCTCCTCCTCCCCCTCCTCCCTCTCCTCCCCCTCCTCCTCCTCCTTTCTCTTTTTGACCTTCTCTTTCTCCTTCTTCTTCTCTTGTTTTTTACTTTTTCCAGGCTGGAGTGTAGTGGCACAATCTTGGCTCACTGCAACCTCCGCCTCCTGGGTTCAAGCGATTCTCCTGCCTCAGCCTCCCAAGTAGTTGGGAGTACAGGCGCCTGCCATCATGCCCAGCTAATTTTTGTATTTTTAGTAGAGATGGGGTTTCACAATGTTGGCCAGGCTGGTCTCTAATTCCTGACCTCAGGTGATTCGCCCACCTCGGCCTCCCAAAGTGCTGGGATTACAGGCGTGAGCCACTGCACCCAGCCCACTTCTTAATACTAAGTTTTTTTTCTCTATTCAAGAAAGTCCAGTGTAGTTTTCCAGAGATTAAGTGGCATGAGATGTAGTAACAGACTGAATACAGAAGCAAATATGAGATTCCAGCTGTCTTCTCTTAAACTGGGCATTAAAAAGATTTGCAAAAAACGTAAAACAATGCCACTGTTTCCAATAAATCTTTTGGGAAAATATGGGACTTAAAAAAATAAAAAATTATTTAACATGCAGTAGGTTTACTATTCTTTAAAAAACAGTATGTAGGCCAGGCGTGGTGGCTCACGCCAGTATCCCAGCACTTCGTGGGGTGGACCACCTGAGGTCAGGAGTTCAAGACCAGCCTGGCCAACATGGTGAAAACCCATCTCTACTAAAAGTACAAAAATTAGCCAGGCCTGGTGGTGCGCGCCTGTAATCCCAGCTACTCGCGAGGCTGAAAATCACTTGAACCCAGGAGGTGGAGGTTGCAGTGAGCCGAGATCGTGCCACTGCACTCCAGCCTGGGCGACAGAAGGAGACTACATCTCAAAAAAAAAAAAAAAAAAAAAGCAGTACATATTTATAATTGTTTCTTAATTTAAATGTGGTAAATATCTATAGCTATCGTCTACATAACAAAAGCTCCTTGGGGTCCCTTGGTGTTAAGGGGTCTGTGACCAGTTTTAGAACTTGTGCTCTGTGACCAACTTGTATGAGCCTGTGCACCTAGGAAAACTCCTGTAAATGTTATGTCTAAACCCAAAGCCACATAATCTGTTAAAAGGTGTCTTCTAATGAAAATAGACCCTTACTGGAAAGCCTATTTATGGCAGCAGATTCTGTTGGGGTACAAGCTGTTTATACCTCAATAAACCTTGCCGGTTAGTGCATAGTAGATTGTTAATGAATCAACAAGGTCTTTAAAAATTAATCACTAAACACTTTAACAGCAGGTCAACCATGACAGAGAGGTTAAAATTTGGAGTGTGACTTCAAGACACTTGGAGATTACCGGAGTGGAACAAGATCCAGTGGAAGCCTGTTGACCAAGAACTTCCAGCAGCACAAATCTGGGTTATAGCAGGTGGCTTTACTGATAACCCACTGTCATGGGCATTGGTGGCGAGTTCCAGCGTGGGGGCAGTTGTATGGCATGTAGGTAAGTACCTGGGCTCTGCCTTCAGTGTTTAGCTAAATCCTGGCTCTACTGACTTTGTGACTTATGGTAAGTATCCCATTCACTGCTCTGTGCGTCAGTCTACCCATTTGTCAAATAATTAGGGCTGCTGTAAGGATTAAATAAAATAATGATCTGGGGTGGAAAATGACCAGCAAAACCTGCCCTTCTCCCTTCCTTGGCACAAGGCCGATTACACTGGGCAACCCCGATTTCTGTCTAGCTGTGGCTAACTCTTGCCAGTGGAATGAAAGGGACTGTGATGCGTGCAATTTCTGCCTCCCCTGCCCTTGTCTTCCCCTCCTTTCTGCCTTCTTGCTAGTCAGGATGGTGACTGAGTCCCCTTGCAGGCTGTGTGTATGGAAAACAGTAGAGCTGCTAGCAGCCCAGGTTCCTGTTGGAACAGAGAAGCCACTGACTTGGAGCCTCCCCGTGGACCGAGACATGGAACAGAATGAATTTCCTTATTTTAGCCGTGTTATTGCTGAGTCACTTGTTACAACAGTGCAGGCTTTCACCCTAAAACATTCATGCACATTGTTTCCAAGTGTGGCTGCCCATGATAAGTGCTGGGTAAACTTTGCTGTCAGGACCCTGCTGTCTTGCTCTGGAAGGATACAGCTACTCCAGTCTCAGCACAGGAAAGACACACAATACTTTTTTTGTTTTTCTTAAGACAGAGTCTCATTCTGTAGCCCAGGCTGGAGTACAGTGGCACAATCTTGGCTCACTGCAACCTCTGCCTCCTGGGTTCAAGCAATTCTCCTGCCTCAGTCTCCTAAGTAGCTGGGATTACAGGTACACACCAACACGCTGGCTAATTTTTGTATTTTTAATAGAGAAGGGGTTTCGCCATGTTGGCCAGGCTGGTCTTGAACTCCCCACCTCAAGTGATCTGCCCACCTCAGTCTCCCAAAGTGCTGGGATTACAGGCGTGAACCACCACACCTGGCCACACAGAACACATTCTGAATCTTTTGCAGTGTCGCAGAGACACACGCTTTGTCTTTAGACTACGGCTCAGTAGGCGTGTGACGTGGGCAAGTTACTTCACCTCTGCGAATCTGCTTCATTATCCGTTAAACGAGGGAGAAATCACAACACCTCCTTTGCGGAATAGTGGTGAGGCTTCAATAAGGTAACACCTGTAAATTGTTGAGCTTTCTTCCGTAAGTGCTAAATAACCGTGTGCTACTATCTTAATGACCATCTTCCATATTCCTAATAGAGACCAGCTCATAAATTGCCACCTGTTGAAGTTGTTCTGAATCCGGGGTTGGTCGCTGCATCTTGCAGGTGTTTTGCCCAGCGGGATGATCACCTGATAATGAAAAGCATCTGGTTTTCAGTCCCAGGGCCTTCCTGTCCCCACATAGCCAAAGCCCACTGAGAGTTAGAATAAAACAGAGAAGGCAGATATGGGACCTGCTGGCCACACCTTAGGAAATGTCTGTTCTCATGATGCCTGTTGATGTGGCTACAGCCTAGGCCTTAATGCAAGCCTGGCTCTAAGAAGCAAATTGTCCCGATTTTTTTTTTTTTTTTTTTTTAAGATGGGATCTTGCTCTGTTAGATCCCAGGATGTTACCCAGGATGGAGTGCAGTGGCGCAATCTCGGGTCACTGCAACCTCTGCCTCCCGGGTTCAAGCAATTCTCCTGCCTCAGCCTCCCAAGTAGCTGGGATTACAGGCGCCCACTAACATGCCCAGGTAATTTTTGTAGTAGAGACGGGGTTTCACCATGTTGGCCAGGCGGGTCCCAAACTTCTGACCTCAGGCAATCCATCTGCCAAGGCCTCCCAAAGTGCTGGATTATAGGCGTGAGCCACCGTGCCCAGCCCTGATTGTTTCTGTTTGTTTTGAGACAGGATCTTGCTCTGTCACCCAGGCTGGAGTGCAGTGGCATGCTCACAGCTCACTGCAGTCTTGATCTCCTGGGCTCAAGCGATCCTCCTGCTTCAGTTTTCTGAGTAGCTGAGACTATAGGTGTGTGCCACTGCACCTGGCTAGTTATTTTTTATGTTTTTGTAGAGACGGGTTCTATGTTGTGTAGGCTGGTCTCAAGCTCCAGGGCTCGAACGATCCGCCCACCTCAGCCTCCCAAAGTGCTGAGATTACAGGAGTGAGCCACCATGACCAACCTCAAGTATTTCATGGGTTATATATGATATCATTGTCTCTAACGTCCTCTAAATTCTACAACTTTCATTCATAATCACCCACATCCCATAATAAATAGTAGACGGGAGGCTTTAGTGACATTCCATTGACTAAAGCAAAGGTGAGCAAACCATGCTTTCCACCATCCAGGCCAGATCTGGCCCACTGCTTGTTTTTATCAATAAAGTTTTATTGGAACACAGCCATGTTCATTTGTTTACCTATCATCTCTGGCTTTTTGTGCAACAATGGTAGAGCTGAATACTTGTGACAGAGATCACATGGCTTGCAAAGCCTAAAATATTTACTACCTGGCCCTTTACAGAAAATACTGCCCTTTGACCCATAGCATCTCCCTGTGAGGTACCGTCTCCAGAGTCGAGGGAACTGGAAGGAAAAACTCTTCCTTAGCTGACAGATCACCTAAGGTCGGAAGTTCGAGACCAGCCTGATCAACATGGAGAAACCCATTTCTACTAAAAATGCAAAATTAGCTATTGCACTCCAGCCTGGGCCACAAGAGTGAAACTCTGTCTTAAAAAAAAAAAAAAAAAAAAATTCCAAAATAATTCTGCCAAGGGAAGAAGCCAGACAAACAAAAAGTATATACTCTATGATTCCATTTACATACAAATCTAGAATCTGGGAACAAATTTCTTGTGATGGATATATGTTTGTCTGGGGATGGGACGGGCAGGATGGAGGGGTCACATAGAGGAAGAAGGAAATTTTTGGGAGAGATGCTGATACGGTCTGGCTGTGTCCCCACCCAAATCTCATCTTGAATTAGTAGCTCCCATAATTCCCATGTGTTGTGGGAGGGACCCGGGGGGAGATAATGGAATCTTGGGGGCGGTTTCCCCCATACTGTTCTCGAGGTGGTGAATAAGTCTCACGAGACCTGAGGATTTTATAATGGGTTCCCCCTTTCACTGGGTTCTCATTCTTTCTTTGCCAGCCACCATGTAAGGCATTTCTGTGCTCTTCTGCCATGATTGTGAGGCCTCTCCAGCCATGTGGAACTGTGAGTCCATTAAACCTGCTTCCTTTATAAACTACCCAGTCTCGGGTATATCTTTATCAGTAGTGTGCAAATGGACTAATACAGATGGGTATGATCGTTCTCTTGTAATGGTTTCATTGGTTATCCCTGTGTCAAAACTCTTCAAATTGTACATGTATGTGTAGTTTATCATGTAATTTCTACCTCAACAAAGTTGTTTTAAAGAATCATAAAAGTCTTTATATAAATGGGTTCTTATGGAAAAACATGGACCAACATCACAGGAAAGAAGCCGTGGTTGAAGTTGGGATGGAGGATTAGTGGCTGGAGGGAAATGCTTGGCTTCTGAGGGCTTCCATGAACTAGTGAATGCACTGCTGATTATAACAGTGTGGCAATATTTGAGTGTCTTGGTTCTGCTTATAAGCCCTTTTTTTTTTCCTTTTTTTAAGAGCCAGGGTCTTGCTCTGCTGCCCAGGCTGTAGTGCAGTGGCACAATCATAGCTCACTGCAGCTTTGACCTCCCAGGCTCAAGCCATCCTCCCACCTCAACCTCCCAAGTATCTTGGACTATAGGTGTGCACCACCACATCTGGCTAATTTTTGTAATTTTTGTAGAGATGGGGATCTCACTATGTTGCCCAGGCTGATCTCTAATAAGTCCTGGACTCAAGTAATCCTCCTGCCTTGGCCTCCCGAAGTACTGGAATTACAGGTGTGAGCCACTGTGCCCAGCTTCAAGTACATTCCTATATTTAAAGGGTATGTATTTCTTCATGGAGCAAAACATCAGCACTCTGTTTCTGCTATTCAGTGTTAAAATGTCTGGAATGTATTCATTCCTGGATTCAGCCATTCAACAGATATTTCTTAAGTGCACATGTGTGCCAGGCAGTGTTCTAAGCTCTGGGGGGTTAAACAGAAAGTGTGGCAGGTCTAGCCTTACTCTTGGGTCTTTACTCTCACTCTTTCTAGGGGCTTCTTCTCCCAGCCTAAGATCACGATGCTGCAGTGTTTCTCAAATTAAGAGCTACACACAAAGGCTTTTCTGACCTCTGTCTCCCTCTAGCTGCTGCACTGGCTCTTCTTGCCCTCCACAGATCAGTTCCTGACAGTCTACACTTGCCAATCCCTCTGGGACGCACCCGACCTCCCTGCAGGGTGGAGGCATTCACTGCATGTCTACCGGGACAGTGTGGCAGCTGGCTCCCAGCTGAGTCTCCCCAAAAGGAATTGTTCTTAGCCAGAGGAAGAACAATTCCCAAATCCACAGTCTAAATCCAGTGCTTGGTCAGTGGGGAGGTCCCTGTCCTTCCTTGGGTGCAGAGCATATCTGAGGGGCATCCCAGCTGCACAGTTCCCCGAGAGGTTGGCTGAGGCCTCTGTTGCAGCCTTACTGCAGCTCAACTTCTCCCTCTGCCCTGTCCTGCCTCCCTTCCTCCCTCACCAACGTATTCCGAGTGTATTTTCCAATTAGCCACCTCCACTCAGATCTGCATCTCAGAATGTGATTCTGGGGAAATCCAACCTACACCACCATCTTCACCTCCATCATCCATTAACCCCTCATCCCACTGGGATCCGGCATCTGCCTCTACCCCAAAAATGATCTCCACTGTCACAGATCCATGCATGGCTTTCGCCAAAGATTTTATTTCTTGACAGGCAGCATTTCAGACCATGACTTTCTCCTTCCCTGAAATATCCCCTCTCCCCAGATCTGAGACTCCACTTTCTCATGGTGTCCATGCCCAACGCTCACCTCATCAATGCCTCTTTGAATCTTTGACTCTTCCTGCTCAGATCTCTAGTCTCCTTTCTTCTTCTCAAATGATATTTCCTGAGCCCTCATTCTACATGCTTACGTGTTTCCATGCCTCAGCCATCACCTGTGATTTACAAATGTGATTTACCTGTGATTTATAAATCCCAAATTGATATCTCTATTATTGGTTTCTTCCTTAAACATGCATCTGTCTATCCATCCATTTATCCATCCATCCGTCAATCCGTGCATCCGTCCAACCATCCAGCCATCTATCCATTCGTCCATCCATCCATCCATGCATCCATCCATCCATGCATCCATGCATCCATGCATCCATGCATCCATCCATGCATCCATCCATGCATCCATCCATCCATCCATCCATCCATCCATCCATGCATCCATCTATCCATCCATCCATCTGTCCATCCGCCTGTTCATCTGTCTATCCATCCATTCATCCATGCATCCAACAAATATTTTCAGAGTACATTCTATGTACTCTGAGCTAGGTGCTAAGGATACAGTGGTGAAAAAATATAGTGTCCTCACCACTTAAACGCAGCTACCAACTGGACAGCTCCACTGGGCTGTTTCCCAGGCTCCTTGACACATCATATTGCACACCCAACTGCCACTCCCTGCACCAGGAAACTCACTCTTATCCTCCAGGGTCCTCTCCCTTGGCTAGTACTGGTTCACCAAGTCAGAAACGCGAGATGGTCCCAGACTCCTCTTCTTCACTCTCCACAGACCCCAGCATCCATCTCATTGGCTCTTCACGCATTCAGCTCTTCCTCGCATCTCTATTACAGCCCTGATTCTGGCTTTTATAAATTCTTGCCCCAACTTCCAAATTAGTTTCCCAGCTAGCCTCAAGGCCCAGACCCTTCCGGTTCCTGCTGCACACCCTCCTAGAGGGGATGGTTAATGTTCACTCTTGAAGCACGTCACCCACCTTGGATCCCTTTTCTACCCTTCCTGACTGTGCTTGGGTGCCCCATGAAGCCGATTGCTGTGGATTTCAGGTGATATCACCTGGCTCTCCTTGCTTCCTGGCATCCAGTTAGGTTTGACCAATAAGAGGTTCAAGCAGGCTGGGTGTGGTAGCTCATGCCTGTAATCCCAGCACTTTGGGAGGCTAAGGTGGAAGGATCACTTGAGTCTGGGAGGGTGAGGTTGCAGTGAGCTGAGACTGCATCACTGCACTCCAGCTTAAGTGACAGAGTGAGACCTTGTCTCAGAAAAAAAAAAAAGACACCTCTTGATAGTCTTGATAGCAGTTTATATAGATCTCATTGTCTTGGTGGCTAAACATTCTGGCTTCCGGATGAATATAGTTTATTTAACTGTTCCCTTCTTAGAACCAACACTACTAGTTGTTCCCCAATATCCAGTCTCTCCTTCTTCCCCAACAGTAGAAGCGTCACATCTAAGCTGGGGACAAGACATTCAGGATAAAGGCTACAAGTTGCAGCCTCCCTGCTCGTGTGATTTTCTGCCCAGTGGGATGTGAGCATAGCTGGGGGTCACGCCCTTAGTGGGGAGAAGCATGCTCTCCCCATCCCTCTGTCTCTCTCCCCACTGGCTGGGATGTGACTGTGGAAGTGAGATATCTGTGCCTATGCAGATTAAGACAGCGTTGCAAGGATGGAAGGCGTCTTAGGTTCTTAAGTAGAGCTAGGATACCAGCCCTGGACTCCTTACAGCTAGACAGTCCATGACAACAGGTTGGTCTAACTCCAAAGACCACATTAACCAATAACCAGTAGCAACCCCCAAGGTAAAGAAAGGCACATGGAAAGAGCTCGTCCTCTGTCATGCTCCCTGACCTCCAACACTCACATCTTTTGCCATGTCTGCACGTAGGCTCAACTGTTATTTACATAACAGCTTCTTTCAATTTAGCCCTCTTGTAAAATACAACAGAAATGTATTTATTTAAAAGGAAAACTAGCTGGGTACAATAGCTCATGTCTAATCCCAGCACTTTGGGAGGCCAAGGTGGAAGGACCGCTTGAGCCCAGGAGTTCGAGAGCAGCCTGGGAAACATAGTGAGATCTCATTTCTACAGGAAAAAAAAAAAAAAAAAAAAATTAGCTGGGCATGGTGGTGTGAGTCTGTGGTCCCAGCTACTCAGGAGGCTGAGGTGAGAGGACCTCCTGACCCCAGGAGGTCAAAGCTACAGTGAGCCATGATCGTGCCACTGCACTCCAGCCTGGGGGACAGAGACCCTATCTCTAAACAAACAAACAAATAAAAGGAAACCTTGGCCAAGCATGGTGGCTCATGCCTGTAATCCCAACACTTTGGGAGGCTGAGGCGAGTGGATCACGAGGTCAGGAGTTCAAGACCAACCTGGCCAAGATGGTGAAACCCCGTCTCTACTAAAAATACAAAAAACTAGCCAGGCGCCGCGGCAGGCGCCTATAATCCCAGCTACTTGGGAGGCTGAGGCGGGAGAGTTGCTTGAACCCTGGGGACAGAGGTTGCAATGGGCCAAGATCACACCATTGCACTCCAGCCTGGGCAACAGAGAAGACTCCATCTCAAAAAAAAAAAAAAAAAGAAACCTTAACAGACCGTTGCTGTTTGCCATATCCAACAGGGGGTGAAGAAAAACCCAATAAAACCAAACAATGTTATTAAATCAAAAATTAAAAACAAAATGAAATACAGGTACCTGAAAAACAAGTTCCCAAAGAGAAGAATGGGCCTTTTGTTGCTTATGCAATAAGGACCTGTAGTCATTGCTAGTACCCATAACCTTTAACTTTATGCCTGAAAAGTCTCATTTTAATCACTTAGGATTTAATCACGTGATCTCATTTTCATCACAGTGACTCTAGAAAGTGCAATGATGGCAAGGGGCTTGAGTTCTGGTGTCACAGCAGAACCCGGGGGAAGCCTGCACCTCGGGCCTCCAGAGATCAATGGCCAGGCACTGGGGACTGGAAGCCCCGGCCCCAGCAAACCTCACCACAGCACTGGCTCCTAAAGGGTCTTGGGGTCACTTGCTGAGATGACTTTTTTTTTTTTTTTAACCTTTTTGTTGTCAACTTATTTACTCCTTTGCCAATATTCAAATGGGTAGGCATTCATAAAACAGCAAAAAAAAAAAAAAAAAAAAAGGAAAAATCCTCTAAAACGGCCAAAGAATCTGTTGTACTTTACTTTTTAGAAACCTGGAAACCAGGAGCTCTGACATCTGTGGAAGAGCAGCATTAAAAATATCTACGATAGGCCGGGCTCGGTGGCTCATGCCTGTAATCCCAGCACTTTGG